TCCCTACAGCAGAGTAGGGTTTGATTCTAGCTGGGTATCTCCTTGGACGAATTCCAGAATAGATGGTGCCAGCACATCCAGTGCAATCAGATCTGTTGGGCTAAGTGGAGTCCAAATGATGATGAGGCAGTTAGCTTCCGTTAGTGAAAATTATGCTCATAGTTCTTCTATGGACTCTCCATTTTGGAACTTATGGCCGAGTCTCCATGCTTCAGCATCCTCTCCACCTCAACCTTCTCTGAATAATACCAGGAATCCCGTAGGCATTAGATTTAGAAACACAACGCCTCCTTCAGACCTTCTTGCCATGGTAGATAGGGTAAGAGAGGTTTTACCCCACATGCCTGATGAACTAATTATTCAGGTAAGTTTATATTGTTTTGTTGTCTTCTTTTGATCCAGTTTTTCAAAACATCACTTATTGCTTATTTGAGTGAAGTGCAAAGTCTATAAAAGTGCTGTATTGGTCCCTAGATTCTTAAATTGATGCTAAAATAATGGACTATTTCAACCCATATAAGAGAGTTTATGGACTAAATGGACGCATTTATAAACTTTGGGACTAAAATGATCCCCTAAAAAGGCTCAAATGACTATTTTGACACTTTGCACGTTCTTATTTTGGACCTTTGATGTTCTCAGGATCTATCAAGGACCAACAACATCAATCTTACCGTGAATAATCTTCTCATGATGCAATAGTGAAGGCTCACAAGTTGGTACATATGTATGAACTCTGCTATTTATATTTAGTTGGGATAGGATGGGTTTGCCTGTTAATAGGCTACAGGTTACATCTAATTTTTTTTTTTTACTTGAGCTTTTGTCCGCCATATATTTCCTTCAAGAGATGAATATTCTAGAGTCGGCCCATGTATAGTATAGTAGTATGAGTCTTCGCCAATGATTTGATACACTGAAAAAATGTGCAGAAACATTCTTGCCTTCAATGAAATACTTGCGTAATTTGGTTGCATTTGTGTTGATGTTTTTTGTGCTCCAAGAACTCTAAACTGTTAGCGTATTCTGGAATTGCTAGGCGCTTCCCTTTTACATTTTGATTTAAAGGCAGAATATTCAAGCTCTCCATTACAAATAAGCAGAGTGGCAACAGAAAGAAGGTTGAAACTGAGTTTATTTGACATAGTTTGCGTTTACATGAATTCTGTGCTGTAGTGGAGCTTGTTCATTGAAGGATGTGGACTGCTTAAAGATTGGGGCGGAGATTTTAATTCAAGATTGAGGATTGAACCAATTTTTGACTCGGACTAAACTCGAATCAAGCTCAATGAGCTGTGTCATGAGCTAAATATATTTTCTTTTGTATGCACAGGTTGCCAACTTAATTGAATGCGAGTTGAAATGTTGTGTTAGACGTAGTAGGAAATTTTTTATATTTTTTGCATATAATTAAGATGCAATGGGAATTTGACTCTAATTACTTGAATTTTAATTAATTTGACTTTGATTTTTTTTTAAACCTAAATTTGACGCTGAAAATGAGTGCTGAAGATGATTTGCTTGTAAGTCAAGTAAATACACCAGGTCATCTAATATGAAATTTGTTTAATAGTTTGGGAAATACAGGTAGCTACTATCATTGGTGCCTAAATATATGGTCTATTTTAGTGTACTATTTCTAACCTCGTTTCTGTTATATTAGGGGTGTTAAATGTATTGAAAATTACTAATATATTTAAAATTTAATATTAGTTTCTGTTATATTAGGGGTGTTAAATGTATTGAAATTTAGGGTTTAGGGTTAAAATTTAATATTAATATATATATATATATATATATATATGTATGTATATATATATATGTGTGTATGTATATATATATA